TGAAACTGAACATTCTATGCATCACTGAGATCCAAGTACTGTGTAGATCTTTAGCTATACGAACGTAACTGTTTTTCTTACCATAACTCTTAAACTTTTGGCTTTAAAAATTTGCTCCTAACTTGATTTTTTTTTAATATGGAAACTGGCTTGTACTTGAGTCTTTGAAAGCATCGTGCTTCCCTTCATTAAGGAAGCATGGCTATTGGTGTTAAAAAGATGGTTAGTGTTTTGATTCGCTCTGAATCTCTTGCTGATTTTGGCCGTTGGTTTGTCCCACCCTCGTGTGCTGTGTATTTTAAAAATCGTGAGTGATAGTTAAGGGTCTCTTCTGTGACAGAGAAACCTGTCTTAGTTCCTTTGGTTTCAAGAATTAAGTTTTGTGCGCATCGATGGCTCAGCATTGTCTTAGACTTAAAAAAGAAACATCGCTTGACAGTGGTGTCAATTTAACTCTGTTTAAACGGATGTAGCTAATTTAGAACAAATCGTTAACATCATAAGATTTGTTTCAATTCTTTAAATTCTTAGTTCTAGCTTAAATTACAGTGAGAACTACGTCTGCTGCTCTTCCAAAAGATAAAGCTGCATAATTTAGAAGAAACCTTCATGGTGAGAAATAGTAAAACTGTGGTCACTGGGGCTGAAGGTGGTTTGCAAAGTAGTGGGAGAGGAAGAATTTGAACCTTTTCAGTGATTTCCTATTTTGAATATTCTTCCTGGATGGTTTATGTAAACCCACTTTACGTTTCAATCCAGCGGTCTTAAACACGTGTGTGGAGTCTTACTTCCTCTAAGGGAATAATTGGCAACTGAAAAGGAATAACTTCTTAATGGTTTTTAATGGGATGACAAACAGTCTTAGGAGCACTGTCTTCTGCGTGCTCAACAGGGAGGAACACTTTATCATTAAGTTCCATGAAGAAATCAGAAAACTACGTATCTACAGACAGATGTAGGCAGTAGAAACAGTATGTCTTGCTTCAGGTCATATCTTAGGTAGAGAGATGGAAAAATATGATCTGTAGATGAAGGAAACAAAAGATTACATTACTTTGTATAGTTTTCAGGGATAGAGGAAGAAAAATGTCCTCTGGACCGGAATGCATGTCTTTGCTACCATGGCTGACTATATCATGACATATTAAGGTGAAACAAGAAACCTTTTGTTTGTCCTTTTTTGAATCTGTTCTTCCACTACAATGCTATGAGCAAGACAAATTTGTCATTTACTGTTAAACTTACTACTTACAATGTGCAGAGGAGGGTATTGTTAAAGGTGAATGAATAATGGGGGCTTTGAAATTCTTTATGTGAGTTTCTACTTCTACCTACAGTAGAGATGGGTAGTTAGATCTTCTGAAAGGAGACCTGTTATTGCATTTGCAGAACTCACAGGTTTTAGAGGTATGGTGAAGCTGCTGTATGCTTTTTTTTTAGCCATGTCTACTATTATAATTATCTCTTCTTGCTAACTCTGTTTTAAATCCCTAGAGTGTTATACAACATAATTACCACTGCAGTGTAAAGATAAAGTAGCTGGAATTTTACTTAGATGTTCACTTTGAAAGCAAAGCTTTCTTTATTTTTAAATCAGTTAGCTTCCTGTCAGATGGAAGAATCTGTAAAGAATTGTAAATGTGAAGGAGCTAAAGTCTTGTCAATGAACCTGAGAAGTGTGATTTCATGAGAGACATGCCAAAGAAGCTTTTGGGCAAGGGAAGACCTACTTGTAGTGTGTAAGAAATGTTAAATAAATCTAAATAAAAGGCTGTTTACTTCAGTTTGTCTGGTGTTTTTTTTTTTAAAAAAAAGTGAATTCAGTGCTAAAAAATAAGAAAGGTGCTTTGAGGATGTGGCCTTCCTTTCCTTTTGCACTACTTAAAAATCTAAGTAGTTGAAAATTTTTCAGAACAGAATAAAACAGGTGCTTGCTAGAGCTTAAGGGAGAGCAGAGCTTTTCTCTTTTCTAACATGGTGCAGGTGAGGCTTTTTGGAACCTTATTCCCTCCTGATGAACTTCAGGGAGATGCTGAATAATTCTTTAGATACTTGTGTCTGCCTAAAGCAAGTGGCAAAGTTGCAAGGTACTCAGGAGACTAGAATTTGAATTGGATGTAATAGGGACTGTAAAAGAAAAGATTGTCATCAAAATTCAATACATTGTATGGAGTCTTGTGGAGACACCAGAGATGTGATTAAATAAGGGGCAGGTGAGGAAATGGCTGTTAGTCATAAAAGGAAAAAAAACAAAGCGTTCTTGAAGATGTATAAAAGGATTCAGCAGAATCAGAAAAATCCCAGGAGGCATATCAAACAGGTAACTAATTTCAGGGGTTGTGTATTTGGGACAGTACTTGTAGTGAGCTGCTCTAATATATTAGGAAGGAAAATAGGTTGTGTTCTATCCATAGTTTGAAGTGAGAGAGAATGGGTGAGCTGGAGATTTGATCTAATTATTTTGTTGTTTAAGCAGTAGTCCTTCAGTTTTGCCAAATACCAGATAAATAAAAGGAGTGGCTCCTAGATAATGTGTTACAGAGAAAGGGAGTTTGTAGACCTGATCAGAAGTTAAAGAAAACTGGGAATACATGCTTGTTATTTCACCTTTTCCTTCTGAATGTTTCTTCTGAGGTCTTAGAAAAAGTATCTAAGGCAATAGAGAAGATAAAATACCAAGAAGCAGAAGAAATGGTAGCACTTAAAGAGCCACTGATACTGCTGAGTTGATGTGGCTGTCCCTGTCCTGATGTTTGTCACCTTTACCACTGACTTGAATGTATAGAAAATAAAAACCTCTGTATGCAAAGAAAACTAGATTTCAGGTGTCTGGTCCTGTAATGGAGTTGAGGACCTTGAGTTGGTAGGTGTCTTCATTCTCTGTAAAGTTTTAATCATGATAGATAGCTTAGGTTTCATACAAGCCAGAATGGAGTGGTAGTCCTCAAATCAGCTTCTCGTGTTATCTGTGTATGTTCTCAGTGTTTGACTTTAAAGTGTCACGAATCTGACATAGGATTATTTGCAAGAGAAAGATTAAAATACATGTTTGTTTTCTCCTGTGAAAACTAGGATATCTAATGTTAGTGATTCTGTTCTGCATGAAAGATATATTTTAAAAGGAAATTTTCAGTACAGCTACTCAGTAGCTGCCAAATATAAATAAAAATGACCGTGCTGCTACTTATGCATCAGTACTTCTGTAGGCTGCCTAGCTTGTTTCAATGTAGTGTAAATTAATGGAAAATCTGAAGAGAATGAAAAGGAAACAGAGTCTGCCAAAAGATAATAATATTTGTTCAAAGAGATGTGCTGAAGAATTTCTTTATATACTGAAGCCAGTATAAATACTGCTTGTAGTTCTGAGGAATTTGTGCTTGTTGCCAAAATTGTCAGTGTAGAAGGAGATGAGGATTTTTTTCCTTGAGCTATGATTATATGATGATGAAATTTGTGTTTTTTGATTCCAAACAGGTGTTAACCACCAAATCGTGATATAGTATACATGATTATGTCAGTTTCCAGTGAAGAAGCAACTTGTTCTTGAATATGCGTTTCAGAGAGATTTTGTTTCTGACATTCTCCCCCTGCCCCACAGCTTTTCAAGTGGTGAAATCTCACCTATTAATCATTTGCCAGAGAAGAAACTGATTATGAAACATAGGTTATATTAATCTCCTGTCTGCTGCTAGAGTTTCAAGTTACTACTTCTCTCTGTGGCTTCCTGTGTTTAGATGAAAACATAAGATTTCTGGTTTTGATATCATGTTAATTCTGAAGGGTTTGAAAGCAGTTGTAACAGTTGTAATGAAAAGACCGGAATTACTGATACCTGGTTTTACTTTACTGCCTGTGCTATTACAAGTCCTGTTTAAATGTTAGTTTTTAGGTTTGAAACTTGGTTAATACATTAATTTAAAGTTATTCTGCAGTGATATCAAACTCACTGAGAACCTTTTATACTAGTTGGGATTCCATACATTATGAAATACGGGATTTTTTTTCCTTACAGCAGCAATTTAGATACCAGCTTAACAGTTTTAGTAATAAAATGTACCTTCTTGTTAAATGTGTTTTTTGGTTAAACAAGAGAAAGCTTTGTGGCCATTCGCAGATTATTATAGTTTAGTGATACTAACCTAGATTTGAATCAAATTACTCTTTTTTGTCTACCTTGTTTATAACTTCTGAACTATGTCTTTCAAGTAAATACTTCAAGGTGTGAGTAATACAGGTGTAAATGGTATAAACAGTACTTACAAGTTCACCTTTGACATTCCCTGGTGCTGTTGAGAAGTTTTTCATTACTTTGAAATGAAGTAGCAGGACTTGTGGGTGTATGTAGAGGTGCCCAGGACTCTGATACTGCACTTGTCTTTGTTTTTTTCATTATCTCACTGGGGGTAGTCAGTAGAACAGTATGTACTAGTTTATTAGTTTATTATCTCTCACATTGTGTGCTTAGTAGCTCCACCTTTGAGTTATCCTGTTTCTCCTTGCTGAAAGATACAGCATTTAATATCCAAATACTGTAGTTTATCCCATAACTAGCAAAAAGTACTGTATTTTTCTATTATTAATTTTTTAATTTTAGATACAGATTTGTAAATTTTGTTTTGTTTTCTACATGCTTAATTATAAGAAAATAAATAAAAGAAGTGTTCTTATATGTCTTGTAAGTGTTCTAAAGAGCTGCACATAATTTTTACTTCAATAGCTGAATTCCATAAACAGGATGACTAGGTGGCAAATTTACAGATGTGAAAGACATTTAAGCTGGGTGCTGAAATTTTAACAAGAAAAAAAAGACAACCAAAAAAACCTAAAACAAAACAGAAAATATTAAAAAAAAAGACTAGATTTTTCAGCTACTGTGATGTTCATGAGGAGAAGAAGAAAATGGCATTAAGATTTGGGAAATAATAGAAAGAGAAGACTGTCATGCTAGATCACGATCTGTTACTCTATTTGATGCCTAATATACGTTTTTCCCCCCACAGAAATTAGCAGAGTACGGAAAGACATGTATAACGACACATTAAATGGTAGTACGGAGAAGAGAAGTGCAGAATTACCAGATGCTGTGGGACCTATTGTACAGTTACAAGAGAAACTATATGTGCCTGTAAAAGAATATCCAGATGTAAGTATATCTTTTTAGTCCCTAAATTATTTTTTGATCCTTGTGGTTGTCTTTAAATGCAAATTTCATGTGATGCTACCCTTGGATCACACAGAGTTGCTTTGGACACTTCTTAGGGAATCAGTGTATGTTCCACTTGTCTTGATTTGCAGTGAGGGGAAGAAGGTTGTGTTAAACAGCAAACTAGTATGGATTACTAAGCCATAGATCTAAGATCTGAATTTTTGTTGTTCATTCAGTACTGTCCATCCTGAGACACTGCATAGTGAATTTTATGAGGAAAGTAGTTCTTGGGAAGCCATTTTTTCCTCTTGCTGTGTCTCTAAAAGTCAGTTGGGGAATGCTTAGAGGCCCATTTAGAGTCTCTTTTGGAGACTGTACTTAGTCTCAATTACTGTTTGTCCCATACCTGTGTAACCAGTTTTGTTGCATATAGTGTTTTTATAAAATGTCTTTATCTTAGGCTTGGTTGTCTTGTCTTCCCTCTTTCACCCGCCCTGCTTAAGCAAAGCTCGTTGCTTGCCTGCCTTGTTGTGTTCTCCACTGAGTGTTCAGTTCTATTGTACGCTTACCTTCTGAGGAAGAATAGTTTCATTTTAACTAGAAGAATTGTTTTAAGCTTCTTTGGTCTGAGTGGTTTCAAACTATTTGGGAAAAATAATCCTGTTCAGATCTACCTCAACTACCCCAACAATTTTTATTGATCATTGACAAAATAAGAAATTGTGTTATTCTTCTCTAATAGAACTTAAAGGTTCTGTTGCAGTGGGGGAGTGCAGTATCCAAGTAAGGCATTTGCACACTGATGTGGTATAAAAGGGGAAGAAACTACAGAGCAAAAAAAAAAAAAAGGAAGTAACAGTTGTGTATTTCTGTGACTTTTCTTTGTGGGGTTAATTAAGTTAAGCTCTCCAAATTGTTTTTATTATTTCAATGCTGCTTACAACATACAGGCCTCTAAATAAAACCTGACTGTGCTCCATTAAGAAAGTTAAATGCAAGTCATTATTCAGGACAGAATATTTAGGCAAATGTCTCTTCTGCCTTTCCAGTTTTCACACAGTTGTTTTACTTTGGAGTTAAAGTGCCTCTACTGGGAAAAGCATTCAGAGAATTTGCAGTGGCAGTAAGGACGTCTCTCTCCTGTTCCATTGCATTTTTCTTCCAAATTAAACATATGTATATATATATACATGTATGTATATATATATGCATACATACCCCCATACTAGAAACACTGATTCTTTTGAAACTCCTTGGAATTACAGATTTTTGAGAGGAACTATGCTATGCAATTCCATAAAGACATGTAAATAGCTCTGGACCTCTATACCTGCATATACCTTAGAATTATATTGCTTAGTGGCTTTTTAAAACATTGCTTACTAATTGAAGTCTTGGTTTCATAAGTTGACAATGCATTCTTTGTGAAGAGTTGCCTTAGTTATTTGTTGTAATTGATGCTTGCTTTACAAGGATCATGAGTAGGAAAAAAGGAGTTGGATTTCCCATAGCTATTATTGTTAAACTGCTGTTCTAGAAGTCAGAGGTTTAATACCGTAGCTCTTCACTGTCAGTTAATTATCAAATGTAATGTAAATAAGCAAGAAAGAGTTTGTCTAGTTACTGTGACAGCACTTGTGTAACTTCAGGTGTATGATTTCACTAGCTGCTGCTAGCTCTTTGTGTACCTTCAGAAGAAAGTCCTTGAGGAGTTCACTAATTTATTTTAATAAACTCTCATATATTCAAAAGTTGGAGAAACTTGTGATTTGTATACATGTGACCTGGAATAAAAAGGTAGTTGCTTCTTGTGAGATGATGTGAATTGTGTGCGATTTCTACCATTGGCAGTTGGAGCTTCACTGGGGAGCCAAGCTCAGTGTTCTGTTCCCTCTGTGCTCTTGTGTACATGTTGTCTCTGTTTGTTTATAACTACTTGTAATGGGATCTGCACAGCCTCAGTAAGTGGTTAATGAACTGGAATATACCACTACATACCAAAAAAAAAAAGCTGTGATTTTTGTACGTGGGCCCTTTCTAAGCTCTTTCTGCAAGTTAGAAGTCAAGTGACCTGCTTTGAATACAGGCTAGCATGGCATTCAGAAGGTCTGGAGTACAGTGATTCTAACTCATTTAAAAGAAAACCCAACAAACATAAAACTGACTTGTAAGTACTCATTTCACTTGTGAAGTTAAATTTGCATGTAAAGATAAAAATTATCACCTATGATAATTTTCACAGTATTATGTGAAACTTCTTACGTTTAGCAACTAATTTAATTGTTACCAGATATAGGAAAGGCATACTGTGCAAACTATCAGAGTTATTTTGTCAGATGAATCTAGTTAATTGTTTCTATTGCCATAATTTTCTTTCAACTTATCTACCTTACAAAGGCATAAAGTTGGATAAATATAAAGTTGCTCAGAGTGACCAGAAACTTTTTTTTTGGTACATTTAGCAATATATTTAGTAACAGAAATTTAAAATTAAATAATCAGTGAAGTTTTATGTTGTTCTAATAGACTTTTGCTCTGGTAAATATTTGTGGCACAGAATTTTGAGTATATTGATTAGTTGACTTTAGTGAATAATGGTACTATAGTGCCATTTTGTGCCCAGAATCCTCAGTTATTTATGAGGCATAAAAAGAATGGTCTGCTCGAATATGTATAAACATACATGTATACATATATGTATAAAAGGTGAAACAGTAAATTTTCATATACTACATCATGTTGATATTACTGTTTGACTATCCTCTGCTTACTTACACAGAGTAAAGAATATATAAAATTGAATTTAAAAGCTGAAATAAATATATAAAATCCCTTATAGTCTCTTAATAAATTATTTTTTTATATGAGTGCATATTGAGTATTTTTACCTTATTAATTCAAAGACCATAGTTGATGCAAGGTTCAACTTTGAAAAAAAAATTGTCTGAAACAGCCTGTAATTTTTAAATTCTGACCATTTAGAGGCTGAATTTCTACTTCTAGTTATTGGAAGGTATGCAAAAGTCTTGCTAAACAAGGGCTAACTTTCTTTGGTGTATTGTGTTAATAAGGAGCATTTTTCCGTGATGTAATCGGAGTCACAATTGTGTAACTGTTAGGATGGTTTGCTTTCTGACATTTTTTTTTTCATTGCAAGCTACAGTTAGGCAGTTGGGTATATTTGTATAATTTTCTTCTAGCACCCTTGAAAGGTGTTTAATCTCTATAGAAATTTTAGTATTAGAATTGAGGTTTAAGCTACTTAGATTTTTTGAACCATGTATATGCTCCTGAAACTTGAGAAACTGTGCAAAAGGCACACAGAAAATGAAATTCCATTACTTGTCCATATTTTGCCCTTCAGTTAAAAGTATGCTCTCTACAGCTAATGTTTGTATTCTTGTGTAAGTCTTTGGTGTTACAGTTTGAAGGCATTTCCAATTCACGGAGAAATAACCTCCATCAGAGTTTAAAAAAGTAAAAAGAAAAGATGTCAGAAAAATTATTGAGCTCTTAAGAGGCAGAAGAGTGGAGGTTAAACTATTGTTTGTGGATGAATAGTTAATAGTCTTTAGCGATTCTTATGCTTCAGATAAACGATTAATATTCTTGAATTTCCCTAAAGAGCTGAGACTTAACTTTCTGCCTGATATCAATTTAAACAGTTTTTGGAATTAGTACCTACAAATGTTCAACTGAATAAATGTTTTTTCTATTATAATCACGGCTTTATTATTAATAAGTACCCTGTTAGCTCTGATTAATGTGAAATTCTCTGTTGGAACTCTTCTGTGCCTCTTCAGTAAAAATGTAAGAACTCAGTAATTATCGCATCTAAAGTAGCATGTCCTTTGAGTATACTGAAGCTCAAAGGCCAGCAGTGATAAACAGCTTGTGCGTACTTTCTGACCATTTTAGTTGAAACTGTTTAATTAGTGCAACAGAACGATGAACACGGGGATTCATTTTACTATGGGGAACTTACTGACAAAACATTTAAATCCTTTTTCAATTTGGTAATATCAGAGTTTAATAGCATCCCTAATATGGATTAGGAAGACGATAACATCATCTTTACTTATTGTTCTGGTTCTTTTACTTAAGCTTTTCATTCCCTAGTGGTAAACAGGGAAGGAGGCTAAAAGACCTGGCCTTGTTTACCCTTGTAATGGAAAGGAAAGAGGGAATATAACTGTTCTCTGTAAATAAACTTGGGCTACAGAATAGTGGCAGTGCTGAAGGAAGATTTGTGATGAAAGTACAAATGTATATGAAATAACTAAAGTAGTTTGATCATGAATTTTCTGTATGAGTAAGATCATTGGAAAAAATTCTAGTAGAAGTAGAGGGAGCAAAACATTTAGTTTTGAATTTGAACTTTATATACTCAGGAGAGGCTTTGCGTGCTGTGGTTGCACATGGTAAGGGCAACAAAGGGCCCCTTTGTTTAGATGCTGTTAAAATGGAGACATGCCTTAGTATTTGTATGAAGATTTTTTACTCTTTCTGTATAACATTTTGTTAGATACCCTTCCATTACTGACCATCTGATTCACCTATTGACAGTAAGTTTTTCTTAAACCCTGCTTCACACTCAATAGCTGTTTGGTTTGTTTGGTTTCTTTTTGGTTTTGTGTTTTTGGGATTTTTGTTTGTTTGTTTGTTTTGTGGGTTTTTCCTTTTTTTTTTTCCCTTTGGTTTTTGTTTTTTCCATAGCTGAAAGATGACAGACATTGTCATAATTCTATTCAGAAATATACTGGTCAAATCTCCAGAACTTTAGACTCTCCAGTCTAAAATACATTGGAATTAAAAACGCTGTCCTTTAGTCCCTGATAGCAATCTTGCAGGCTCAGCATTGGCAGAGCAGTACCAATTAACTTGGTTCCCATATCTCCATTATTTCTTCCCTGTTAAACTCTTCAAGAGTTTAATGCAATTAAGTTAGGTGATTACCTTGTCATTTATCTGTTAATGTTCTTCTTCCCATTTGATTC